AACGCTTACGTCACGGTTACGATACAATCGTTACTGTGTTGTGACCAAAAACATGATGTAGTTTTAATTTTTAATTTTACCTTTTAAAATATAAACTAATACCTAGAACAATATGTACCTACTAATGCGCGACCAGGGAAATATTTTACGACACATGGATACGAGGCATGCCCAGGATCAAAATATGGGACAGGACCAGTAATAATTGTTTCGATTTACGTAGGTACGCATTATTTCTTTTTTGTAGACTTTTCATAACATTTTTAAATTGAATTAGTAAAATGATCATATAATATAATACAACACAATCCCTCCTATTCAATCTGTTAAGAATATATAAAAATATTAAAAAATAAATAATAATGAGGTAAGAAATATCAATAATAACCATTTGAAGAAAGAGTAAGTCCAGGCCTACCAGACCTACCCACTGAGCATGCCACTGCATGAGTTTTAGAACATGAGGAGCGTGACTGTCCCGCAACAGAACTCTTAAGGAGTACAACGTTATAATATTATTCTGAATTAAATGTAACCCTTAACCAGCGTATTTTCAAACGGGAGGGGGTGAATAAATTCTGGTAAAATATTCTATTCGACTTGAACGGAAATCAGTGTTTTGATATTACAATGATGAGATGATGCTGTACAGTTTGGAGTGGAACATCGTTGGCAGTGGTTTGATGTAACATCACCGATCGTTTCATCGTTAAGGTCACTGTGAAACGACCAGCCGTAGAAATGTACCAAAGGATAATGTTATATTTTTATTAATATTGCGCGGGGGATCGATCGTCACCGCAGTGCCACAACTGCACTAACACAGGGCCTGTGTGCAAATTAAAAAAATAATCCCCTCCCCCCCCGCGTGCGCGTCTTGACGCTGCTGGGAAACCGTACCTTTGATCATTCGTAACCAAACCGTTTTTAATTTCGATTATACAGGCCACAATAGAAACTTTGATGCACGTTAATGTGTTCAAAATAAAATCGATCAATTGTAATTGAATTTCTCCATTAATAATTATTATAACAAAATGGTTTGATTTTTTTTTTTTGTACGTATTTTTCAATTTTTATCATTGAACCCCATAACAGACTGGACCCCATGTGTTTGACACACGCAACACAATCGGTTATTGCGGCACTGAATCGACACGACTACGACGCCGTGGGTGGCTGTAAAACGACTGCGCGCCGTTTTTACCTGAAAAAAATCGAAATGCGTTCCATGAAATATAGGTGTTGTCCTTTTAACGATTTCCCAATACACTGTTAAAAAGTATTAGCACGTGACACGATAAAAATAAACATTTGTCCTTTTATTATTTTCATAATAAATGTATTTTTCCAATACGTATAAAACCTACGTCCGTATAACAATTTTCAAGACCAATACCCTATTGGTTGTACAATAACAAGGAATTTAATTAAACGTGCGTATAAATATGTAGGCGCTCCAGTAATCGAAATCCTGTTTTATTGTTAATGAATACAATGCAAAGTCGAAAAAAGATCTTCGATTAAAATATCTTTTGGCCATCGGTTTTTTACCCGAAAATTTGGTCGGCAATGCCTTTTCGTGTTTGATCGAAAATACCCTTACCAATGACTCCCAAATTGTTGATAGTAAACTTGACAATTATGTACGCCATGGTACGGTTTTCTACAAATTTTTTTGGATCGGTAAATCTTCGGAAGAAGCTAGAACGACCAATGGACTAGAATCATTCTACCGACATTATTGCTAATATTTTTACATTTCACATCCTTCTGTTGATTAAGTCATAAACATGTACTGTTCGACATAATAAGTGAACTTCTTTAGAAATTAAAATTAATAATTAAAAACTGTGTAAAGAAATCTCAGGAAGAAAAAAAAAACAGGAAGACCAATTAAAATTTATATTGCAAACTTTGAGAAAAAATTAAAAGAAAATCAAATATCTGTACAAGAATATTCGAAAATATTATAGGGCCACGGTTTTGTGCCACGAAATCTTAACTAGGATTTTTTTATTTGTAAGCATTTGTAAAGCGTGGAAACAATTGTAATCAATTTTTTTGAGTTGATATTTGAAAATTTTTAATAGTTTAAGACCTATACCTCATGGAGCGCTTTCGCGTTGTATTTCTTGCGTGTAAAATAATAAATCGCGTCACGCTTTTTCATGTTAAAAGGCAAAACGAGTGCAATCGTATTGCAGCGCCGACGACGCGTTTCTTTTTTCCAAACAAACGTACTTATCACTGGTGCAGACTGACTTCCACGAGTTGTTACAAATGAAACCTTATTCGATTCGTACTTTTACAATGGTACTGTGTTCGCCATATTTGTAATCGTGAGATTATTAAACATAATACATCATTCGTCAAAGTTGTTGTTATAACAGTTGTGATGTATGGAAAACAGTTTAATTCATGCGTAAATTTACCATTTCGTTAAATTAGATTTCAAAGTAGTTTTGTTATTAATTTAGTTTGCGTTAATAGTTATTTATTAAATTTATTAGCAAAACTTATTTGTTATCCAAAATGACTTATTGTTGTTTTGATACAATTAGTAAGTTTATATTCTGACTTGGTCAATTTCATAACGCAACATGATATTTTCAAATTATTTTCAAACTATTTGAAAGTTGTGAAGTTGTAACAAATATATCTACACCATAATTTACCATCGGAATTTCAACTGTTACTTTTAGACGCTTTGTTCTACAAAATTATTAAAAAATTGTGTATAAACATTTATATATATATATATATATATATAAGAATTTTAACTTCAAGTATAAATTGATGAATTGTTTTTGTTGAATTTTATTTCTCGAATTGATCTCGGAAAATAATTTTAAAACAAATAACTAACTTATTAAACAAGTTTTCAAAAGACATTTCTTATTTCTCATTTTATTTTATCATTCATTTTTCAATTTGTTCGTTAAGATTTATTTTTATTTTTATTTTCTTTTTGATATAGTGAAATCAAGCAGCTTATTGGATACTTTTATTAAGTTTATACCAAATAACTTAAATATATATATATATATATATATATATATTATCTTAATGAAAATAAAATTTCATGACAATGGCTCTAAGAATAGTACACAAATACATTATATTATGTTTTGTTATTAATCGTACTGTATGAGTAAATAAATAACTGATAAAGTATATAATTTTTAATAATTAAAAATTATAAGCCCAATTATTGTACTTATTAAACAAATGATTTTTCAGAAAACTTCGAAAATCGATAAGCCGATTAAATTAAATTTTTCTTTAATAAAATATAATGAACTGATTTATAAAATTATTATATATGTCTTAATAAACTATAATTAACTGTAAATGTTTCTGATTTGTAAATTAAATTCATCGTATAGCTTAAAATATTATAAAAGATATTCGAGATGACACACAATTTAATTTCAAGAAAGTTAAGACACAAAAAAACAATTTTTACTCAACAATAAAGTAAACTTTGAAATTAACAATTTACTCTTACATTCTATAGAATTATTCATAGTAATTATGTCATTCATTCATAAAAACTATACAATGGTAACCAAAAACGTGTCACGAGTTAATGAAAAAAGAAACGATAAAATACTTCCAAAACAGAATTCTATTTATAGAACATGAGTGTATTGTATACGTATAATTTTTTCGCTCTCATTATAATATTGTATTTGAATATTATTAAAAAAAAAATTCCAAGTACGCTAGTAAAGAAGTCAAAGTTTCTCTAAAAGTTTATTTCAAAGCCTAACGTAAACCTTGTACAAATAAATAAAATACACACTTTAAAAGCCTTTTAAAGCACACAGCTTAACTTCGTTAAACTGTCACCAATAAGTGGTCCTTTGAAATTTGTAGTTTATGGTTTTATATTGCCAAATTCAACTATACCGAGAGTATTTCAGAGTCAAAGAATAGCTAAAGACAATTAACTTAAACTCTATTGAAAGGTAAAACTTGAAGTAGAGAAGAAAAGACATTTTAATAAAATATACTAGAAGAATAAAAAAAAAAATTAGGTCTCTTATACTTAAAGTCAAATTATTATTAAGCAGACGTCATACAAATAAATGTATTATATTTGAAAATAATTTATAATTGATTGTCAAGTGATATAATTTCTTCTTTTATCATATTCGGCTACTGGTTTACTAGTTGGCATCATACACATCTATAGCCGTGATTGACATGCAATGGATTAAAAACAATTAAAAAATTATTTTAATTGAAGAGAAATTATTAATTCTATAATTCTTATTTTCTATCTAAGTTATTGGGTTTTTTTCTTTCGAATCAGAATAGAATTTTTCAAGTATTATTACTCAAATTATAGCTTATTTTGATAGTACTACTATGAAGCCTGTATAATTATACGCTATAAATAATATTATAAAAAAAAAAAAAATTAAAAAAATTAACAGTTGTTGAGTTTATCGGACGATTATAGTTTTTCGGACGGTTAAATATCATACACAGTGTAACTATCTTTATAAAACATAGAGCTTATATTTTTTAGTCTAAATCACCTTTTATTTACGGAACGATATTATCCCGTTTTATATAAGAACATTCGTATTTGGATAACGATAATTATTCATTTTTATTTATTCACTAGCTATATTAATTTGAATGAACCTGATGCACCTCAATAGGCATTGGTCAAAATTTAAAATCAACATACCAAACAAAGTAAAATATTTTTCTAAACCATCAAAAAAGAGAAAACATTTATTTATCCAGCCCGAGACTGTTTCGGCCCAAAAGAACGGGTATACACCAAGCAACAAACGTGTTTAAAACGTATGTAAACGTTTGTAGAAACAAAAAATATGTACAGAATCCGTGTACCTACTGGCGTAAGAGACGATTCATTTTTTGACCAGCTGTTCGAATGCGTATTCCGCGCGCGCGAATAAAAACCGCTACGGAATGCCGAGCTGACACGTCATTACATCATGTTTACGTTTTGTTCACAGAGAAGTTTGGGCGCAGTGGAGGAACACCAGAGGATGCGTAACTACTTGTTGCGCATCGAGAGGGAAGGCGTGCAAAAGGTTAAGATGTTCGTGGTCATCACTGCGGCGTATGTGATCTTCTGGGGACCATTATTTTTCGTCACGCTGGTACAGCACCCATTGTCCGGCAATCGTTCCGACTATGAGGTAGATAAATGCGAAGTAACTTAGCAACCGTATCGTTTGACCGTATTACTATTATTATTATTATCATGATGAATTAGAATGCGTGTCCGAATAACAGACGACGTCACGTGCACGCAGGGGTGTGACTAGGGGTTGGAAGACGAGGATTCATCCCCGGGCGTAAAATGTTTGTAGGTGTGATTTTTATCAACTAATTTATTTTGATATTTTTAAATTTTTAAAATACTGATATTAGGTTAAAACTCAATAAGTATGATTGTAAATTAATTATTAGAAAAAAAATCCTCGAGAAGCGTATTTGAGTATTGGTCTATGATAGGACGTAATTTTAATATTTTTCCCGGGCGTAAAAATTCCTAGTTCCACCTCTGCGTGTACGGTAGCACGATGAACCCGCGGAAAATAAAACACTGTTGAACCGCAGCAAACGGATTGGATAAAAATGACCCTACATAATATAAGGTGTCCCACGAAGGTGATCGTTATGATATCTTTTGCGGTAATCAAACTCTCTTTTTCTTTCTATACGGCTCGCAGGAATAATTACTAGAAGCATCCATATTCTTATTACATTTTTTATGTCACGGTAAAAAAATAGCATTACGTTTTGTTTTTATTTCTAAGAAATTTTAAGATATTCATTTTATAGGGTTTATGGCTTATTGGAAAACAGTGTTATATTCGATACTATAATAGTGTTGTGAAACTATCAGAAAACTAGATAAAATGATATCATCAAAACACTGTTGTATTTTCTGTAAGCCAACAAAATATTATAAACTCGACCGAGACTTCATGGTAAATGAAAAAATGATTTTGCTATCATCAGTTAAAATACGCTTTTCTACATTTACATATTGTGAGCTGCATTTTTCTTATCGCACTTTCAATGAGCGCAGAAAATAAGAAACAGTGGAGAGATAGCGAAATATAGAATAAAATAGTTTTTTTTTCTTTGTTATGATCTATTACAAACGTTAAGGATGAACATGGTGTTTTCTAAGGGAATGCTATAAAGACTTAGTTTAAAATAAAATAAATATACTACCTATACATAGTAATAAAATAAAGTCAGTATGACGGTTTTGTTTCGCCAGTGTTTTAATAACTTACTCAATTTTCAACTTCAAAATCAACTTCACGATCAATACCAACACTATGAATGGTCGCACTTTGCACGTGTTGATTTCAATTTCAATTAATCTTACTAGTATATCGGAAGAGTTTTTTTTAGGAGCACACTAGTGAAGCTTTCCGACGGCTATCCGATTTTGTGAACTACGATAAATATACGCGAACCGTTTACGTGGGCATCTCAAAAAAGTATTGCAACATGCATTTGCTCGCGCGGTTCCGACTATCACGTGGGTTTTTTAATTTTCATTATTTTCGCGCTTAACCCGGCCCCTGCGTGCACCATCCCTGTCAGTCGTACACCACACCGGTGTCGGTTTATCCTTTATTGAAGGGTAAAAATGTACGATGTGCCACCACGGATTGGACGGCGGGAAATTAAATTCTATTCGTGCACCGTTGTACGGACGGCCTTAGGGGCTACATTTGCACAACAATATCACGAAATATCCTCGAAAACGTCATAAGTGATCCTTTTCCGCAGAATGAGAACGTAATAATAATATGTCTTGCGACAATGCAATATGTGGGGTAAAAAAATATGAAGTGTGGACGTATGAATATTATATCCGCTCGGTGTTCCGGGTACGCGAACTTGAGCTTGTTGGGGAGGATCGCGTTGGCTATACAATTTGCATTATTTATAATATCCCTATCAGACCGGTTATTTTTACAATTCAACAGCGAATAACAATTGACATCTTGTACGCGTTTTGGTACGAAACCCAAATACAAAATCAGTAATTATCGTTGTAGTTCACGTTAGCAAAAATAACATAAAAATTAAACTACTGCTGGTCATGAGAAATGTATCGAATAATAATTAAGTATGAAGTCGAAAACAACAGTCAACCATTGTCCAATTAAAAAAGTCTTATTGTATTTCATTATGGTTGTTATAGTTATTTATCAGTTGTTGTCGTACATCGGTGGACAATAAAAAGTATACAAACCTACAAGTATAGTGTTGAGCGAAAGCTCTATTAACACGTTTTGGACTTGATCGGTCCGAAATGCGTGCATTAAAACGCGCTAGGTGAAACCGGATAAACTTAAGATCAACAGACCTGTGAGATAAAAAGTTGGGTTCATTTCGTACGGTCTGTCGTTGTCAAATGTGTCTCGTCGCGCGGTCAGCTTGTACTATAACAAGTGGCTTACATTTTATCTAAGGCGGTCGGTTTGAACCCTGACAAGCGGTTCCATCGAATATTGTCTTAAAATTTCTTCAAAGCTGATATTCATATATATTTGTTTTTTCTTTTTTTTTAATCCATAACTTGTATCATAATTTTTGGGAACAAAACACGGAATATCACGTCGACTATAAACGATCGTAAACGTTTTAATGTTTATAATTTTTTCACGACTGGTACGATCGTGCTATCGCGATTTACAAATTAATCGTATCGCACCGTATCATATCCTTTTCAACGATCCGGCAGTTCTAACCGTGCAAACCGACCACTCCGCAATCGGATGTCGTCGACATCATATCGATCGTATATCGAACCGCGCGCGGGACGGATTTTGATGACGGGACGTAGTAGCAACGACGCAGGGCCGTCATTGGGAAGAGAGGGACTCAGGGACTGGTTAGCGACAATAGCAATGCACACACACACATATATATATATATATATATATATATATATATATGTGTATATATATAAAGGGTCTTTCATAAAGCGTGCAACTTTTAAAAATACTGTAAAAGTTATAAATGAATTCATTATTATAATTGTATACGAGAACGCGGTCTCACTATTGCAGGTCACGTTACACGTGGCCAACGGCCATTCGTTCGTCAACGCGATGCTGTTCCTGGTGCTACACCGGGGCCTCAGACAAGCGGCCGCGGACGCCTGTTGCACCAGCATGTCCTCGGTGGCCAGGTGGCTGACGGCCGGGTGGTCGCCGGAGCCGTACACGCTGGACGCTTCCGTGCCGGGCGCGTCGCCGGAGCCCGTGCTAGCAGCTCCACCGCCGCCGCCGCCCACCAGTTTGCCAGCCTACACCATTCGGCACACTTCGATGAGGGTAAGAAACGAAATTCACTTCGTTTACCGATGTTTCCCCTCCTCTCCTCACACACACACGCGCGCGCGCCCACCCAACGCGTTATTTTACACGCACATTTACCCCCTAACGCTCGTTGAGGCGTAATAAATATTCGTCGAAATGGTCGAGGAAAACGTAGGTGATACTTTTCCGATCGTAATCGTTTTTTACTGTACATTATCAACGTCGAATACCGTTTTCGCTACTACCCAGGCGATGCGCGGGAAAATCCTCCGGCTTCCAAAGCGCTCGAAATATTAGTCAAATATTGTACGTAAAAAAAAAAAAAAAAAAATATCTAAACGAATTGACGGTGGACAAGAAAACTGTTCGTCTGAGACAGATAAACAGATAAAATTAATATTTTTATCTAGATTAGTCTTAACACTGGACTAACACTGTAGATTTTCCCCGGTGATCTTAGGATTTCGAACAGTTCCCACCGGTTGCTGTGACTCGTCTATGTCTCCTTTACCCAAACTGTTTTGGATGACACATCACCAAAACAAAAAAAAAAAAAAAAACACAAATTAATCACGCCTCCTAATACACTCTTTTTATTATTTAAATGTAAGCAAATTTTTGTCTATCAAAAAACCAATATATGGCAATGCAATAAACAATATAAATATTTGCCTTATACCTCCCAAAGAAGGCGCGCTTCACGGTTTAGGAACCGTTATCCTATACTAACGTAACTACCACGTGTTTGAATATAGTGTTACAAGTACGTTATCCTTTACGCGATCGCAAACCACAAACTAAAATCGCGTTCGCGTCCATTCGGTTTGCTCTGGGCGATTTTACTCGTGCATTGCGATAGAGATATATTTACAATTCATATTTTATCGTTTAACTATGGGTCGTAATCAATATTTTCAAGCACTGAGTTCACGGTACACGCGTACTGTTGAAAATTATTATAATGTATACAGTCGAAAAAGGTAACTTAAAAATTTCACTAAAAGAAGAAGAAGATGATGAGACAATGTTCTGATATTTTCTAAGAGGAAATGAAAACATCTATTACTAACAAAAAAAAAAAAAAAAAAGAGTATCGAAGGTTATCATGAAATACTAATCAACGGCCATCCGATAAATATAATCGAATAAAGTTCCTTCCAAATTGTATCTTGTATATTTAAATCTTTATAATCGTTAATTTGAGGATATTTGGCTACACACTCAACCAATACTTCGTCCTTACTTAATTTGAACGTTCCATGACTCGTGTTTAAAAAATCGGATGTTATCGAGCATTCGATCATAAATTTATATAAACTCATTATTTTTAATTTTTAAAACAACAAGTCGATCGCTGCGCAAACAAATTCACATCGCTGATCACGACGGCGCAAGTGAAGTCAACCATATTTAATTTACATTGTATCAGCGGTCACGTAATCGGAGCACTCGATCTTAGATCGCAATTGACATTCGCGATCGCACAAAGGAAAACGTACCGTGTAAAGGGTTCAAAGAGTACAAAATTTGATAGGGACTACTGTACGGGCGCATACAGCCGAGTGAATGATGCGTGGATCTAATGATAAAATAATTATTTATTTACGATAATTTACAATAAGGAAAACCCATATTGCGCAGGACAATGTTTATAACCTTGAATCAATTTTTGTTAGCAAAAAAAAATTAAAACGCTACAACAGAAAGTTATTATTCTGTGAATTTGCTCAAGTGATTTTATCCTGCGTATTACATATTTTTACGCTTAAATTACTTGTGTGCCAACTATTTTTAAGAAACTGATTTAAAAGTAAATACAAATACGTTCAAAAGAATACAGTATTTGAAATCTGATTATTAATATGCATGGTTAAACCATTCTTATTAAAATAATTTCAATTATTTTTTACACATATTATTATAAACTTTTTAAATTTTTTTGCATACCTATTCAATGCATATATTTAAGTAAATAGTGCAAATTTTTATTAACAACATACATTTTTGTTATGATCGTCCAATTCGTCAGTTTACCTTAATTAAGATAAATTGATGAACATGAATTTAATGATGGATTAAGATTATTATTGGTGAAAACGACGAAACAAAAAACAAGAGCTATAAATAATTAAATTCTTACACATTTTTTTATTTTCCTTAATTGTAAAGAATACAATTTTAAAATATATAATGTTATTAAATTGTATATTCATATTTTGTATTGCATTTATATTTTACGTTATAATACAATGATTGAACGCTATCGCAGTCTAAGCCCGAGGGACGTTAGAGCATAAATATGATGCATTATGCAGCGTTTGCTGTGATGAATCAAGTTGAATGTAATTTCGTTTCGAGTTTTATGTAAGACACGCAGGTATGTCATCAACATATCACATACAATTTTACTCAAAACCACATAACCGCAGTCACCGTAAGGTTTTTCTTTTGCGAATTCGATTGTTCGTGAAGTATTAATTTGTACAAAATCATTTTCTCGAGGATAGAAACTATACAAGGATAAAGTGATTTTTATTTTAATTTTTTTTTATTTTTTTTTGAAAACAGTCTCGTCCATCCTCTATGCCCAGATTTCTACAATAATACTCGTGCTTCGTCCCCACGGTGGGACAGACCGCTGTTCGCAGATAACAAGCGACGTCGTTGGATACAACGCCGTTCCCGTCACCGTCCGGCTCGCTCGGCGCATTACCAATCCGCACGCAGGAACGGTGGACGCTAGGACGGTCCGAGTCGATTATTAAGTGAAAAACCGTGTTCGTACTACGGAAACGGACACATCGTCGCGTCCTCGTCATTTGGAAACGCCCGCACGCGTACAATGCACACAGTCCCCTTCGGCCCTGTACGGCCCTTCCTGCCCGAACCTTTCGGTTCACTGTCCTTTAGGCAGTACGATTCAGTAGTGATGGATACGGACCGAAAATCCTCGGTGAGCTGTGACACGGTTATTCGTCGTAGGCTCAACATAGCGATCAGCAATTCTGTAGAAATGCGCAATACCTATCGCACGTCCTAATTCAGTGTTCATTTCAATTCTTCTATCCGGTAGCGAGGGAGGGGTAATATTTTACATTTTAAAAGAGATAATCCATAAAAAAATGACTGATTTTAATAAATTCTTTGTATTAAAAATAATAATACAATAAAAAAAAAAAAAAAACAATAACCCACCTTAGAAATATGGTATATACGAGTATTTAGTTTAACCATCATTTTTCAAGCTTGACTCTCAATACTTTCCCACCGATGTAGTTAATCCCACGCGAAATCAATTTGCGATTTTAATCATTTAACTTTCAATGGCCATTCCATTTTACCCAGCGAACCACTCCTTTTTCTCATTTCTATCTCCCCTAGATTAACTCATTCCCTACTCACTCCCTATCTTCTTCTTAATTCTCGCTCCACTCCGACTATTCGTTCCATCGTTAGTCTTATGAATTCCGCTGGCTTCCTAATTTTACCATCTGAATTTAATATTAATATCTGTTTTCATCATATATTTATAATTGCATTGTTGTAATTTTTTTGACAAGGGTAATATTAGAAAAAATACGTGTTTGACGTGCGTACAAATCAATTATTTCATAATTTGTAAGCCATAATTACTATCACAGATGTGTAATAATAATATACGCACAAACTATATTGTTTAGGAAACAGTTAGGAAGCTCTACGAGAATCTTATACTCATCGCGATATGAAGATAATTTAATGCCGTGGTCCTTTTTTTTTTCAAACCGTTTAATCTGTTTTTGTTTTTCAATTTTAGTTTATATTTTTTCTTCTGTTACCCTTATCTATAACGGCTAACAAATTATTATCGCTTTGTCAGAAATTTCATCAGTAGTTTGCAGTTAACCCCTGATAACAATTATTGTTGTCGCAACGCATAAGCATTACGTTAAGCCGCAGTGGCGCCGAAGTGTTTAAAAAATACTATGACATCGTACATCAAGGCGGGGACTTCACGACCTTTTATCAGTCACCAAAATGTTTTTTCAATGTAACAATAAGATGCAAATCAAAGCGCCAGCATAATGCGTTGTATACTTAGCGGAAAAATATCTAAATGCGTTTATTTTTTGCTACGTTCTGATTCACGCCCAAACGTGAGCTCACCGCACACAAAATATAGTACGATATCTGTCATTGATAGATTAGGTCAACGGTCCTCAAACTGTGCTCCGTAGAGCCCTAGGGCTTCTTTGTAGGGCGCATTTGAATTACTTAAATTCAAATATTATTATATTCTTTTAGAATATAATATTCTATTATATAATAATATTATTATTATATTATTTTAGTTATTAAGGAATACACTGGTGCACTGGATTACTTGGATCGCGCAATGAATTGTACGTTTTTTTCGCCAAACATCTATTTAGTTTAAAATCAGACCAACTGATAAAATTTGGTTATTTCGACTTCATTACTTCAATTATATTTCCACAGAGTTAAATGAAATACATTTATTAACACAAGGTAAATTCGCCACAGTTTTCACAGAAAATTACAAATTCCGAGCTTTTAAAAAAAAAATGTAATTTTGGTCTATATGTTTTTCTCGGCATAAAATATATAGTTTCGCCCAATGATAATATTGATGAAACATTATTACATCATTATTTTTGTATCAATTATTATTGTCTCAAATAAATATTCCTGATTTTGGGGCTTCAATGTTTTTTTTTAGAAATATAAGGGCTCCGCGAACAAAAAAGTTTGAGAACAACTGGATAACTAGATTAGACGATAAGCGCCACTGCTGAACCGTGTTCAAATATAGTTATCGGTTAATCATAACTTTTTGATGACTAATGTGTGATTTATACTCTGCAGTGCTGTCTCCGGCAAAGGATTCGTACCTGGTACGTGTGCGCGTCCGTATCTTTGAAACCCCGCGTAATTTTTAACTTCGAATCGACCACAAAACTTTCGCCCCAATTTTTCTCGCTTTATCTACACGGTCACATATCATAACATATAGT